CTGCGATTGTACCAAGATTGTGCGGGAATATTCGTCTCTGTCTTTTTATAAACGAGAATCTAACAGGCGTGTTGTGTCGCATTGGCTGACGTCTGTACGAGTGGGCTAAGGACGTTGCTGTACCTTAACTTTGAAACCAAAGGATAACTTAATCGTGTTTCCGACAGCCAGAGACATATGTAGAACTTCTTTCGCACCGTACGTAGCAAACCGTGGTAATCGGAGGCGCGGAAGGACACGCAGGCTACGTTGTATAACGCGTTGGTTCAGGTTCAGCCAAAGTACAACATGTAAGATGGGCGATTGCGTATTGAAGGCATATGGTGGTGGTGAAGTGCATATGGGTCCAACCAATGGTCCATGATCATGATGGGCTGGCCGTCACTTTAACATATTTGCCTCTATACAGTATTAACAACGCTTCAAACCCGTGTCGCAGTTTGGATCACAATCAACATACTGTTTATCGAGGACCTACAATCTATGAGATTTGCGTTTTGTAAATAACATAAGGGATACAAAACCATGCCTGTGCGTATTCTTTAACGCTTTTCAACGAGTAATTAGCGATTAGAACGGAAGCGATCACAGAGGCCGGGCACGAAGCTTCGACGAGGCCACGGTGCTCGGATAGCGGCTCTGCCGGGGAAGGCAAGCCATGGCCGGCAGGGCGAAGACGCCAAGGGGGGTCCCCTCCCCCCCCCCCCCCCCCCCCGACGTTTTTTTTGTCTCTCCGTTTCAAGCAACCCTGTGATCAATTGATATTAATTTCATTGGAGAAAGTACCCAATAGTAACAACTTTATACTTACGTTTAATTCAAACTGGATCATGTTTTACGAGAGTTAATCTTTGTAGGCCGCGACGAGGCAACGGGACTCGGATTGTGGCTCTACCCAGGAGGGTGCGCCTCAGCCGGCGGGTCCAGCACGCCGTGGCGGGTCTCTTTAGCCCTGGTACGAGTCTCAAAGTTTTAGACAACCCTTTGGTAGATTTGCACAGTTTTCTGTCAGGTATATTTCTAATAGTAGTACAACCTTTATATAAAAATTCCGTTCATATTGGACCATCTTTAGGAGAGTTATCGTAACCGGACTCAACCCGCTTATCAGACAGACCAATGGACGGACTAACGCCTTCAATCTGATCTGAAACGCAGTGATAATTGTAACACGCAACAACAACAAACCTAACACAACAACAACAACAACGGCAGCAATCGATGACAAGCACAGCACCGTAACAGCTACTCACCCAGACGCTCCACACGTCGCTGATCATGGACAAGGCCACAACCCCCGCAAAGCCGGACACATCTTCTTCTGCACCACCGTGAACATCACCGCCATCGCCAATAACAACATCACCATCACCACCAGCATCGCCAACGACGACACTGACGCCTTCCTGCTGCTGCTCGCCGGGCTGGCCGAGGCCGTGGTCGAGGTGCCTACGGGCCCGCGAGTAGGCCGACAGCAGGCCGACGGACAAGAGGCCCACGCTGGTGGCCACGTACGTCTGCAGCGTGGGCAGCGGCAGCCGCTCCATGATCGCGATCGGCATCGCGAGCTCGACGACAAAACCAAGACACCGACCGAGGGCGTTCAACAAAAGGCCATGGGGCGAGACGAGAAGCGGCCTCCCAACCCTGCCTCAATCAGCCCCTTCCCACACCGCCTATGTGCGCCCAGCAAGACGCGGGCTTCACATTCGCCCACGAACCCCTCGCTTCTCTGCTTGTATCCGTCTTGTACGCCAGAAACAACGAAATGTCCTCTCGTGCCCGCTCTTCCAACCGCGCGTTTTAAGCCTCGATTCCTAGCCGCGAACGTCGTCCACTTTGCTCTGCCTTGCTGCTAACGCAGTTTCACAGTCCAGTCGCCGTCTCTTGCTATCTGGACGACTGCAAGCGACTTCGCTGCGAGAAGGAGGAGAAGGGGTGTGGGAGATGAGGGCTGGGAAGGCGACACACACACAGCTACACACACAGCTCTACACACACACAGCTGCACTCAGACACAGCTCTTTGCGTGTTGCGAGTGCGGGGAGGAGGGAGGGAGGGGGAGCCGCCTCTTGCTGGCGTGGGCGTGCGTGAGTGGCGGCGGAGAGCCAGTGGCGTGTAGTCGGTGTGGTGGCGTCAGTGTGGTGAGTGTGTCAGTGTGGTGAGTGTGTCAGTGTGGTGAGTGTGTCAGTGCGGTGAGTGTGTCACTGCGGTGAGTGTGTCACTGCGGTGAGTGTGTCAGTGTGGTGAGTGTGTCACTGTGGTGAGTGTGTCACTGTGGTGAGTGTGTCACAGCGGTGAGTGTGTCACAGCGGTGAGTGTGTCAGTGCGGTGAGTGTGTCACTGCGGTGAGTGTGTCACAGCGGTGAGTGTGTCACTGTGGTGAGTGTGTCACTGCGGTGAGTGTGTCACTGCGGTGAGTGTGTCAGTGTGGTGAGTGTGTCACTGCGGTGAGTGTGTCACTGTGGTGAGTGTGTCACTGCGGTGGTTGGACAGCAAGCGGCGCTCTCTGTCCACGTTCACCTCGCGTCGTTTCCCTCCCTCCCTCCCTGTCGTGTCCTCGGCAACGCAGCAGGCGGGCGCGCCGCGGAATTTTCGGAATCATTGGGAAAGGAAAAGAACCTCACTCACTTGTCCACGATCTAGGACTGACGACCTTTCCGTGCCGTTCAGTGGCCGATCCACCACCTCCCACCACCACCACCTCCCACCACCACCACCACCACCTCCCACCACCACCACCTCCCACCACCACCACCACCTCCCACCACCACCACCACCTCCCACCACCACCACCTCCCACCACCACCACCACCTCCCACCACCACCTCCCACCACCACCACCTCCCACCACCACCACCTCCCACCACCTCCCACCACCACCACCTCCCACCACCACCACCTCCCACCACCACCACATCCCTCCCACCACCACCACCTCCCTCCCACCACCACCACCTTCCACCACCACCACCACCTCCCACCACCTCCCTCCCACCACCACCACCTCCCACCACCACCACCACCTCCCACCACCACCTCCCACCACCACCACCACTTCCCACCACCACCTCCCACCACCACCACCTCCCACCACCTCCCACCACCACCACCTCCCACCACCTCCCACCACCACCACCTCCCACCACCAACCACCTCCCACCACCACCACCTCCCACAACCACCACCACCTCCCACCACCACCACCTCCCACCACCTCCCACCACCACCTCCCACCACCACCACCTCCCACCACCACCACCTCCCACCACCACCACCTCCCACCACCACCACCACCTCCCACCACCACCACCTCCCACCACCACCACCACCACCTCCCACCACCACCACCTCCCTCCCACCACCACCACCTCCCACCACCACCACCACCTCCCACCACCACCACCTCCCTCCCACCACCACCACCTCCCTCCCACCACCACCACCTCCCACCACCACCACCACCTCCCACCACCACCACCTCCCTCCCACCACCACCACCTCCCTCCCACCACCACCACCTCCCACCACCACCACCTCCCTCCCACCACCACCACCTCCTTGCCCTTTCGGTGGCTCATCCACATTCCCATGGCCGAGAGCAGTTTGAACTTCACAGTTATGACCATTCTTGTTTTCCACAAAGTGGTGTGCTCGTTTTATTGACATTTTTTTTAAATGTCAGTCGAATGCTCTCTGGAGTATTGCACAGTGTCGGTGCCACCCAGAGCAGTCTCGATTAGGGGCGGTCGCCCCGGGCCCCGCGCCTCGGGGGTGTCAGATGTGATGCTTCCGGGTGAGTTTGAAGGCGTCGGTCGGGGTTGGAACAGCGGGCACGAGAGGATGTGTCTGGCGTAGAAGAAGGATGAAAGCAGGGGTTGTTGGGCGAATGTTAAGCCCGCGGATTTTGTGGTGCACGTAGGAGAGGTGTGGGAAGCAGGTATTGAGGGAGGTTGGAATTTTAGTTGGAGGCCGCCCGCACCATCCCATGGTGCCACCCATAGCACAGCAGTTTTCTCACAGCCCTTTATCATTCACTGCTGGATGAGGCAATCCCCACACCATTGCGTTCGTGGGAGTTACTTGAACCATAACTTCACGCTATTCGGTCGGTGTGGTGAGGGAGGTTACCTAGGATCTGCTCACACCTGTGTTTGATTCCCCGACGTAAGCCGCCTGGTTCATAGCGGTGCGCTAACCACCGCTCACAACTTTTATTATGGTAAATTTCGATTTAAAGCTTTCGTGACTGCAGGTATTCATCTTCTTGGTTCTTTCGGTAAAGTCACGTAGAAGGGAAGTAATAAAATAATAAAAATAAAACAATAAAATAATTCTCACGACGTTTCGGCCACAACGCAAGCAGCCGTCCTCAGGTGAAGACCAGGTCTGTCGGGGAGACATCGTCTGAATGAAACACCACCAGGCTTGGAGCGTATATTTAAGCTGGGTTGGAAGGGGGGAAGGGCGCCTTGACAAAATAATTTGCGTATCAAGAAGAATTTAGCATATTTATGGGAAATGCAGGTATGTGATTAGTACTACTTGTGAAATGCGTAGGAGGTGGGCGGGAGGGTTTCAAAGTCATATTATTATGTTACTCAACATTCTTTGGTAATGCTGCTGCTGCTGCTGGGTTGCGAGTCGTGCACGAGGACAAATAATAACTGGGTAAAACCTCAACGCATTCGTCAGTAACACTGCCATAAAGTAGTACAGTACTCCAATATTCACGAAATTTCGTTAAGTTTTTGTTATATTGGGTCATTACAGTACAGGTATCCCTCGACTTACGAACGTTCGGTTTACGAAATTTCACGTGAACGCCGCTATTGAAAAACTAAGGACACTTTTGGATTAACGAAATGGAATTTTCGCGTTAACGAAATGGAATTTTCGCGTTAACGAAATGGAATTTTCGCGTTAACGAAATGTCACCGCGCACCATCGGGAGGCTGCCGCCACCCATCGACGGTACCCCTGCAGTCCAACGATGACACCTCCATATTATATTGGTGAGTTCCCTGAAAGGTTTTCTTTTATTATCATTCAACCGTTTTAATATGTGCTCTTTATTATTGTTGTATTTTGAGTAGAGTTACAATGTCTGTCTGAAAACACATCCCAATTGTTTTTCTGCATCACATTAAACGGGAGGGAAACGCCATTCCGATTTACGAAAACTTCGCTTAACGCGTGCGGGTATTTTTTTGGCGAACGCATCCCTTTCGTTAACCGAGGTTCCACCTGCAAGGGTGCCTCGCGAGATGACGTCACGCCGCGAGCGCCGAGCCCATTGGCTGACGGCTGCTCCCGTGACCCCCGACGACTTCCGCATCTTCCTGCTTCAACATTTTGGGCGGGAAGCGGCCGTGGTGGGTCGCGATCTCCGCTCTCGCCTCTCCCCGCCCTTCTCCTCTCTCTCCTCTTCTCTCCTGTCCCGCATGGAGGAGGAGGGCTACGCTCGCGTGCCGCCGGGCGGCCTGCAGGAGAACTACCTGAGCCTGGACGACGTGCTCATGACGCACGGCAAGGTCCCGTGCCGGGTGGAGGTGGCGCTGCCGCGGCTCGGGTTCCTGGACAAGAGCAGCGACGACGCTGGCCTCCCCGCGGTGCGCACACCACGGGACGGCGACATGAGCAGCCCTGCCACAGCACTGAGGCCCGATCCGTAGCTCGCTACCCACTTCGTAGCGATAGCCCCATCCCGAACATCGGCGGCGGCTATGTACGTGGTTTGCAATCTAGCAGCAGCGTGCGTGAGCCAACAGCGCTAAGCGGAGGTGCAGAAGGTGGCAGAGCAAACTGTAGACAGGTTGCCCTCGCCTTACGCGTGGTCGGTTTTATGCGATGTGGCATATTTTTGGCTGTGGTTTGAATTAACTCATGCGGCTATGCGGTCGGGCGTGGGACAACGCACCGTGCGTGTACTGTGTGTGTACTGTGCGTGGCGTGTGCTGTGCGTGCGTCTACTGTGTGTGTACTGTGTGCGTGTACTTTGTGTGTACTGTGTGTGCGTGGGTGTACTGTGTGTGCGTGTACTGTGTACTGTGCGTGTACTGTGTACTGTGCGTGTACTGTGTACTGTGCGTGTACTTTGTGTGCGTGGGTGTACTGTGTGTGTACTGTGCGTGTACTGTGTACGGGGAGCGGTGGTGTAGCGGTGAGCGCACTGTGCTACGGCCAGAACCAGTGACGATTATCTAAACCGGTACTGGGCCCCCTCCCCAAGGTCGACTCAGCCTCAAATGAGCACCTGGTGCAGTGTGTAAACATCACCACTGGGAAGACGACGGCGGCCGGGCGTGGTGCTGGCCACCCACCCTTTCGTGTGCCGTGCCGGCCTTCATAGGTGCTCGCTCACCGCACTTGCCCCTACAGTCTGTAAAGGCTGTACGGGGGATCTTTGTTTTGTGTTGCTCACCCTTGGAACGCAACTGCTAGCAACGAGATGAAATCACTCCGGCGACCTTTGGATGCGCTTCCCATTAAACTTGGGCAGCATCCCGGTGGCGGGAGGCCACAGGGTCCCATTGTGCCTCCCCCGACGTCGAATGCGCGCGATGTTAACCACGGCGCCGTCTCGGCGCGCACAGGGCAAGCAGATGGAGCTGCCGCTGTGGATGGCCAAGGGGCTGAGCGACCGGCGGCGCGTCGTGTCCGTGGAGACGCCGCGTGGGTACCGCCAGGGTTGGCGCACCGTCCTGGGCGCAGACCCGGGCGTCGTGGACCTGCACAAGATGGGGCCCTACTACTACGCGCTGGGCACGCAGCTGCTGCACTTCGAGAGCCCCGAGAGCGGGGAGATCGCCCAGGCGCTGCTGCAGGTGCTGCTGTGCGCGTTGTTGTGGGTGCTGCTGTGCGCGTTGTTGTGGGTGCTGCGTGCACACCGTTGTTGTTGTGGGTAGTGGGGAGCGGTGGGATAGCGGTTAGCGTGCTGCGTTACGAACCTGGCGACCCGGGTTCGATTCCCGCTCACGGCCAACACCCAGTGACGATTATCTGAACCGGTCCTGGGCCTCCCCTAGGTCGACTCAGCCTCTAATGAGTACCTGTTGCTATGTGTAAACATCGCCACTGGTGAGACAAAGGCGGCCGGGCGTGGTGTTGGCCACCCACCTCCTCATGTGCCGTGCTGGCCTTCATAGGTGCTCGCTAACAGCATTTGCCCCTACAGTCTGTTCAGGCTATACAGGGGATCTTTGTTGTTGTGGGTGCTGCGTGCACACGGGGGTCTCCGTGTTGTTGACCACGCTCCAGTGTTCTTCGCAAATGACCCTTGCAATGCAGAACACTGCAACAGCATATCTTCAGCCGCATTGGTTCAACACAGGCAAACTCTGAACCAGTTTCAATATTCATTGTCTCGTCAAGCTTGCTTGAACCGTTGCTGGTGATCTTTTAGGTGAGATGGCCAAACATCCAAATATAGGACGACAGAGCTTGGGCGAATGTGGGTGTTGGTTTTGTCCACCTTTTATGCCTTTACCCACGCTTCTGCAAAAGCTGTGCGCTTTACAAATTCTACGGAGATAGTTTTTGCACCATTTTATCGACAAGTTTCTTTCCCGAAGATCGTAAATTTTTGACTGATTCCATCTATCGTGATATCAGCCTCTACAGTTGGATCATAGCAAACGTTGGCCTCTGACTCATTCCTCGTTTTTCACGTGGCACAACAGATATTAAAATATGCAAACAAATAATTGTGTTAAAACTGAATGTACATGTAAACATATGTTCTTGCACGAATATTACACATTGACTACCCAACATCAATTACCCAACTCAAATGCCAGCGTTTATAGAATAAAAATGTCTCACAAAATGTGAAGTGGAAATGTCATCCAGTTGGAAATAACATCGTCCTAATTCGTCTACCATATTTCTAAACTGCTATTTGAGTTGGGGGGGATAAAAATTGTCCAGTTAATGATTAATGCAACGACGTGTCTCCACTCCGCCAGGCATTCTCCGGGCGTTTCCGCCGCGTAATGGACGCGTGTCAGAACGCGTTTGACGAGGACACGTCGGCGCTGACGGCGCCGCTGGACGTGAGCGAGCGCGCGCTGTTCCGCCGTGGCCAGCGCAGCCTGGAGGCCCTGGCGGCGTGGGAGCAGGGCCGTGCCTCGCAGCTCACCGCCTCGGCCATCGTCAGCAACATGAGGAAGCGCAAGCTCGCCGACCTTGACAGGATGTGAAGGCGCTGTGCCTTACCGTGCCCCCGACGTGCGTGTATCGTTTGCGATACAAAAAACGGTTAGAGTTGCAGGGCAAAGTGCCGCTTTACAGTGTTTAGTGACACCATTGGTGATGTCATTCCCATTTTTGGCTTATCCGTCAGTTTTATCTAAATTGTGCTATCAGTGTCATGCCATGAGATCAAAAATTAATTCAGGGCTTTCGCAGAGCAGTGCGACCCCCCCCCACCAACCACCGCCAATGTTTGAGAATAGCCCACACGAGCAAAGATCAGAGCTCCCTCTCAGATCCCTTCAAGTGGCTTCCGGTCCACACAGAAGGGAGCAACATTTATTTGTTGATTCAAGGGCAGCAGCTCCAATGCACGATTGATGCGGAGGCTATAGCGCTGGAAATTAAACTTACGTGGCCGTGACTTAAAAAGCCTTTTTGCCGCTCCCCCCATGAATTAAGTTTAGAAGTTGAGTTCGAGCCACGATATACAGCCTGGTTATGTATCTAGTCAGGCGGTGGTGGCTATGCACACCTATGATCCAGCACTGGAGGCAAGGGTTGGTGGATTGCACAAATATTGCGAAATTTCTCCCGTAGGCGTTGAGGTGCCATTCCCTGACTTAATACAGATGGCATTACGTAATATAATCTGTTTCTTCTGTAAGGGATTGAGTGTTGCCCCCCCTCCCCCTTGCATGTGTGGGTTTTCTTCGGATGACAAACAGTTCATACATTCTAATCGGGATGCCCTCTTGCTCCTGGACTATTCAACATATTAGAATAGTCTGAGATGCCTTCAATCATGCTACGATTGTTCGAATGGGAAGGCGATCGTTACGCTGGGAAAGGGGTGGCTCCCTGATCCACCGTATTTTATGTATGTCGATGATCTTCTAATTGCGTCTCTGCAGGAAGTTGGATACTGCTGCCGAGGCTGGCGTGGCGTTAGCCACGATAAAGTTGGGCCCGACCATAAACCCAACCAAAAGTGTATATAACCTAAACTGGGTTTTTTATTAGAATTCCAACTTTTTTTTCTGGTCATTCCTGAATATTTGTGACCACACTGCGATTTTGTTCTAACATTCATATGCAGTCCTCCCCATTACATTTAAAATGCACTATCTAGGTCTCTACGTTTTTCCTTCTATATTTTTCTAATCACACCAAGCTTGGGTGTCCAAATTACTTTGCTTTCTGTCTATAATTGTCTGACTAGTCTAGCTTTTTCACATCTCACAGTACACTTAAGTAAGTTTTTCTGTCCACAGGACATGTACAATTCTTCTCCACAGCAGCGCAGTTCACAAGCTGTGATCTTCCGCCTACGTGTATTCATTACCCGAGTTTCACATACATTCCAATTGGAAATTTGTGGCTCTGATGATAATTGTCTTTGAAATGCTTGTTCATTGCATGGATTAGTCATTTTCAATTTGTAAGCATATTTAGTAACAACACCACGAAGTAATATGAATGTGTTTAATACAAACTAGATTCGAAGCTTTCGTGACTGCAGGAATTACTCTTTGGTTCTTTCGGTAAAGTTACGTAGAAAATAAAATCAAGTAATAATAGAATACGAAGTTTCGGTTGCAACACAAGCAGCCATCATCTCTGCCCCGGCCTCTCCCCCCTCTATTTAAGGTGTCAGCACAGATAAGTTGTCTTGTCTTGATGTGTCTCGCTCGGTGTGTCTCTGCATGTGTCTGCCTATGTTGTTTCCGTGTCTGTGTTTTACCATTGGCTGCTTGTGTTGCAACCGAAACGTCGTATTCTATTATTTTATTTTCTACGTGACTTTACCGAAAGACCAAAGAGTGTTTATTACAATATAATAAATGAGTGATTAAATCCATTGTGGCTTGACATTTTATTCTGTTCAATGTGGGTGGCTCAAACGTTGTGTTATAATAAAAAACTGCATTTCCAATACATTTGTAAACATTTTAATAAGGGCTACTTGGTAAGAATTGTTTGGAAAATTGATGGCTAAAAATATAAGTCCTTCACATTGACAAATAAATGCAACCTTTTTAAAATACATGACGGATCATCCAAGTATACTCAGGAACAAACTAAAAACCGCATGTAAATGACTGGAAACGGTAATGTTGAAAGAGATAATTTTGTACAGTATTGGAATAGGTAAAGTTACTCAAATTACATTAATGTATTGTATGAATGATCAACTTTGTTTGTCCTCAATGGAAACAGTCTATGACATTCATGCATTCACTGTGGGGTAACTTGCATAGAATCATACCGGAGGCCTTAAACCTCAAATCTCGCATTCAGGCAAGTGATGTTTGCATACAGTAATGGTACAATGCTGACTTATTTTAAGTTTAATCATGATTATTTGTATACTATATATACAAATTATTGGAGGGATCGGTCGCATCAAAAGTACATGTTGCGAATAAAAAATATACTTTGTAATTGAAGGAGTAAAAATTACCAAAACCTGAACCCATGGGTAAAAAAGGCATAAAAATACAATTCATCCCCAAATGTGTAAAATTTGCAAAAAATCTAACATCTAAGACAAAACTGGCAATTATTGCTACAAATCTTTATATCATTTGTAAAGTGTACCAGTTAGTTTGTAAAACTAAATAAATTTGGCATAGGGCTGGAAGAATACAGTGCTCAACTTGCAATCAAATTGTTGCAAGTTCAAATTTTGGTCAAGTGTCAACTCTGTCCATCATACCTCTGGGGTTGGCAAATTTGAGAACCATTTTGTGCTAAGTGAACAAAGTTTGTCCAATGATTGGCCCCTACAAAAGGAATGTGACATCCTGCCCTGTCTCAATGCACCACACCTGGCTGAGCACGCAACAAAATTGGATATTAAACAAAATATGACATTTTCTATGGTACCGCAATAGGAAGTTTCTAATGTTTGGAGCATGATGAGGCTACAATTTTGATGCAGAATTTCAAATAAACTTCGTAGGCAAGTTGCGGGGGGGGGGGGGGGGAAACAATTCACAGATTAAGGTGCAAAATCTCACTGAGTCTTAAGACGTTTTCAGGGAGGTGTTTTGATCAAGAATGCTTACGGAATGGTAGGAAAATGTGGAATACTGCATTGCTCAAAGACCTCCACTGTTCATCGGCTTCCTACACTGGTCCCCTTACGAACGCTTCATCCCCATCAGTCTATTCGTGGCTCACACTCCTCATGATCCACCAACTATATTCTGATATCGCCGTAAAAAAGTCTGCCAACACACCCATTGCCAAATACAGTTTGGACTTGGACGCTTTCAGATCTAACATACATGAACATCTTTGACCAAATTACATGCAATGCACCTGATCTCGGAAACTAAGCAGGCTTGAGCCTGGACTGCTTGGCTGCGGGGCTAGATCTAGTGGGCAGCAGTCGGCAGTGCAGCAAAATTGTACTTTACCAAGGTGCCAGCATGGTGAAGTATGGTCAAGTGGCTCACTATAGTCCACACTACGTAGGGAGGCCCTCAACTAGCAGTGGCTTGACAAAGGGACTGTCTGTACAAGTACATACATTAACTGTTGCACACTTAATGCTTGAACGCATGTTAGATTCATTGAAAAACTGTTCGAAGTCTTTTACAAACAAATCGGCAATACCCATGCAAAATGTCGCAGAAACCTGTAGGGTAACATTTTACCAATGCATTGGCGAATTCTTCCAAGAAACATTACGCAACCTTCACACCGAATGGTTACATCAGGGCTCCGTCCTCTTATAAATACATTCGGTTTGCATGAAACCCAAAAGAAAACCCATAAAAATATACTCGGGGGTGTGGGAGCCACCAGGATCCAACTCCAACGGGTCCCAGGGAATTATATAATGCACAATGAAATACTCCCATTATCTTCAAATGCTGTTACTCGCTGCAGCTAATGCACCAGTTTTAAGTGGTGAGGATATTACTGTCAGTTATCTAAATAAGCCAATTAAAACAAAACATTATTGGGCATTTACTTTCAATAATTTCTTATTATTCCCAACCCTGCCTGTAAGGGGATACGAGGATTTTGTCTCATCCAATGGTCCTGTTGAAAAGACCCTTTGCCCAAGAAGTGAGTCGACTTCATTCAAGCATGAGGTTGTGCTGGCTCAGCTTTTGATATGGCAGTGGGTAAGAGGTACAAGAGCCTTGGCAGTGCAGACATCGCAACCCAGCCCTTTTAAATGCCGAGCAGACATTCTACGACATTGCACAGCTGCTCATCCACGAGAGCCTTTACGAGACGGCTCAAGGTGGCTCGCTTTCCCTCGCTCTGCATGAACTTTCTCAGCATCTGGAAGGCCTGCTCGTAGACATTGTTGTATTCATGAGCGATGTTTTCGATGGTCGGGTCCTCCAGGCCCTTGCACGTTCTCATCAGCTGCCGAGCCACAGGCTTCCAACCGTTGCCCACTTTTTTTGCGAAGTTATTGTGATCATCCGCGGAGATTTGCCGGTCGTCTGTGCAACACACAATCATGCAAAAATCGCGCCTATTTCGTTGGGATTTCAGCAAAGGCAGTGATGCGAGCAATTGCTTGCTAATGCCGCTGCTCGCAGATGGGCCTCCACAACAGGCAGTGGATTGACATCGGGCTGTAAAATATTATTTATATAATTATTGTTTATGTGGAACTCATGTTTTGTTGCCATCATGCTAGGACCTGCATCGCAAAGAGATGTGAACCTCAAGAATGTTTCCTAATGAACGAACTAGTGATGATAATATGAATGTAACTGCATCTCAAGAGGCTGTAGACAATGGGAGACAAGCTTGGAGTAGAGGTGATTATTGGAGAGGGTGGGGGTGGCGGTGTGATGGGAGTGGGACTGGCCAGTCAACACAACCGAGGTCAGTGGGGTTAACCATTGAGTGGGTGTGACCAAGACACAGGTTCATCAGACGAATAGGGCCCAGGGCAGCCAATGGGTTGAGTAACAAGCGCCACTTCTCCACTGGCTCAACCACGCCAAGCCAGCATGGAAAACCTCATGGTATGGGTGGTTTCCCACCGGCTAATTGCTCTACCGAGTTGGAACTAAACCGTGACACTCTGGCCTCACAAGTAATCTAAATCTGGTTCAGGGCCAAGCAGGGCCAGCGGCTGGGCTAACGATGCTTCATTTCACGTGACATCAGGCAGTACACTGTGTCCTCACAGTCATAGAGTGCATCACTTAATTCACAATTTTCTTTTCGTTTTGAATCTCAGTGTATTACCACCGATAGAAGTCTAGTCGTTGTTAGCCTCCCTTTCATTGGCATTAATTCTTAGTTTTGGTCACAAACTCTAATATTTGTACAAAAATTTCACTTACCATATGGTATTTCTTGGAAAAGAAACGTGTTCTCTGGAATGACCATTGGAGCGCTCAGACATGCATCATGAGTTGGAATGGCCGGTTGAGTACAGGCTTGCGGTGACGAATCCACATTTCTGGCTGACCGATTGCCCCCCAGTTGACAAGATGAACTCGGGCCAGCATTAGAATTTACAAGGTCACCTCCACTCGCATCCCTAGGGTTCAAATTCAGTATCGACAAATCCTGTTGCATTCTTTCCATCTCGTCATCCTGCAAGGCCGTGGGCTGTGGAGGGAAGCAGAACAAGCCAGTTGACACTGCATTCACCACCAGCATGCCCTCAGTGTGCCCTGGCAACCAGCTGACACGTGTCTAAGGAACTGCCATTAAAGCAGAGCACCAAAGGAGAAGAGAAAGATGGAAATGTGTTGGGTTAAATGTAAGACAATTTTAAAATGGTGGCTTTTGTCGTCATTGGAGACCAGTTTTTTTTTTTGTCAACTATGACTATGGGTTGACTAAAATAATTAAGCGTGATAATGACTACAACTACCCACCAGAGATGAAAGCAGGGCTGGACTATGATGGGATGAAATTAACTGGCCTGAATGAAGACGTAGACAAATGATAATCAAGTCATGTTATTGGAGACCACAGTGCACCAAACAAGACCAAAACTGTTAATTGGCTATATATACATTTTTAAAGATTTACCAAGTTCAATGAATGGCCGACCTATAATATTGAGGGGGAGAAAACATTACACGCACCCTCACACAAATTTTTATAACTAATAGTGGATTAAACTATTGACTGCTTTAGTCATCTCGAATAAGACATTTACTGAACGAAATACACAAATTGCATGTTGTCGTCAACTAAGCTACGAATAAACAAAAAATCCTACACTTGTCTCTTTCTGCCCCTCCCCTTACCCCCCAACACCAATCTACGGCCATGCACTCAGCCACCTCAATTCCTGACAATCCTGCGTACCACCATGATCGCAGCAGCGGCTCACCTCATTTTGGCCGATGAGACGGAGCCAGTTGCTCAAATGGAAGTCGCGCTTGTCGAGGACTTGATCTCGCACCTGGAGGGAGATGGTGTATCTGTCTGGATGGTTTGACGCGGGGCCTCGATTCAGCTGTAATTCCATGTCCCCATTCATGTAGCGATTCAGAAACACTGAGCACGACGTCCTGCTGTCAAACCGCAGGTCCACGCCAAACAGCGTGCTGTGTGCCTTCAAGATGACCGGATGATCATCACCGTCTCCTGCAGAGACACGTCACGTCAAAGCGTCTTCACACTCAAACGAGCAAACGGGCCAACGCTCACCCACGCTGGCAGCCACAATGACCAGAAACTCCACATTCCCTTAATATACACCAGTATATCCATAGGACAGGAGCAGGAAACCTTTACCCTTACTGCGGGACAAATAGGACTTTCAAACATTTTTGGCAGGCCACAATGCAGGAAGCCCGTACAGTCACAGAAGCGAATGAGTGTGGTAAAATAGAAACGCAGTCATTCCAGATAAACAAATATATCTCCCTCTAGTACCGGATTAGTTCAACTAAGATATTTGCAGTGATGGAGAAATGATCGGTTACGGGACGTCCTGAAGATGTGTGTCTCGTGCGGCCGGAAACTGAGCGCAAGTGAACGGGGACGACAGGGGTGACGGCCAAGAAACAATAAAGTTATTTGACCTTTGATGGCATCGTAGATGAGTTGGTGAAGTTGTTTCTTGTTTTCATTATTCTCTGTCCATAGCTTTTGGAGGTCCTTTACCCCGTGAGAAATCCGAAGCGTAACCTGGCCTTTGAAGTTTTGCGTCATTTTCAAGGAGCTGCCTTCCGTGTCAACCAGCGCCACTGTAAATGAGGAACAGAAACAATAATTCATGACTCACGTTTACCTGTTACCAAAATGTGTATCTAATGTAATAAAATAAATATAAAGTAATATTAGGGGCACATGGTCAGAGTGAGGCACATTCGGGAAACGTTTGGCTTTGTATAATTATACGAGGCTATTATTGCCCTAAAGATTATGACGAGAGATATTCATCACTAACACTAATATAGAAGGAACATACAGAATTGACGACGTTACTGGTAATGGTTTTCTCTTCGGCGCTTCGTAACAACCAAGGCGATGGATCTTAACCGAAACGTCAACAATTACGCGAGTTCTTTTTCACACGGAATGTGGTGAATCATTCGTTTATGCCGTGATCACCGCTCCCAATGCATCAGCAGCAGCAGTAACAAGACAACATGCCATTGTTCGGGATATCTTTGAGGGTCCGTAAATTATTCTCAGGGGCTCGTAGAGCCACTTTAAATTAAGAAGCAATTAACATTAATATATTATCCATTTACTATTTTAAACATTTTTTTTGCCACATCCGGAAACGAATGTACAATACGATTACTGTTGTAACATAATGCATACGGGCGTCTTCACGGCGGCGTATGGATAAACTGATAGTTTGATGGATACACTGGAAGTTTATACATCAAACTATCAGTTTGGAAGTTTGTCCATCAGCATCATCATCAAGCCGTGGTCTATGAAGTCTCCCCCGTCAGGGCCTCCCCCATTCCCCCCCCCCATCTCCCTCCCCCCCCATCTCCCACCCCCCATCTCCCTCCCCCCCATCTCCCCCCCCCCATCTCCCACCCCCCATCTCCCTCCCCCATCTCCCTCCCCCATCTCCCTCCCCCCCCATCTCCCACCCCCCATCTCCCTCCCCCCCATCTCCCCCCCCCCATCTCCCACCCCCCATCTCCCTCCCCCATCTCCCCCCCCCCATCTCCCACCCCCCATCTCCCTCCCCCATCTCCCTCCCCCCATCTCCCTCCCCCCAACTCCCTCCCCTCATCTCCCTCCCCCTCCCCCCATCTCCCTCCCCCCATCTCCCTCCCCCCTCCCCCCATCTCCCTCCCCCCTCCCCCCATCTCCCTCCCCCCCATCTCCCTCATCTCCCCCCATCTCCCTCCCCCCATCACCACCACACAAACCCAATCGATGGCCTTCCCACCACGGCCACCACCACCACCACGTCTCGTGGCCACAGTCGCGAGTCCCACAGCAGCGCCGTGACCCGCGAGTGGCCGCCGCGTCGCGCCTCTGAATGTGACCCGCCCGGCGACTCACCTCCAGCACCCGGCGACCACAGGAGGAGCTACTTCCTCCGCGCTGTCGTGCCGCAGTGCGCACGCGCACTGCGCGCGCACTACTTCCTCCATACCCATCCACAAAGACAAAGGCCCCCCGTGTAGCCTCAACAGACCGTAGGGGCAAGTGCTGTTAGCGAGCACCTGTAAAGGCCGGCACGACACGCGGTGGCCAACATAACGCCCGGCTGCCTTTGGCCTTGTTTGTTTGTTGTAGTACGGAGTTAGACTGATGGCCTTAATCTAAGTTGTCTTGTTGTTTGACTTGCATCCCACTGGGATTTTTGCACACAGCGTTGGTGTACGGTGCTTTTTTCTGCAAAAATTTGGCGGATTTTCTGTTTGCACATAGTCACTTAACTTTAAGATGTTTTCTTGTTCATGTTTTTGTTTGTTGCGGTTGCACCCGATTCAAGAGCCGAATGGCTCACAGGGCTATACCAAATAAATGGAACTGAAACTGAAAACTTATTTGAGGCCGAGTCTACCTAGGGGAAGCCCAGGACCGGTACAGATAATTGTCACCGGTGTTGGCCGTGAGCGGGGATCGATCCCGGGTCGCCAGGTTCGTAGCGCAGCGTTCACCGCTGCACGAGAGGGCACCAAAACCCCGTGTCGGATGAACACGTGCGCGTGACGCACCGCGGTGCCTTTTAACGTTTGCACCACCCGCCATATCCCCCCACATATCTTTGATTATATTTACGAGATGTTCAGAGTTTTTGATGAACGAAGAGGTCGTACAAATACAACTGTCAGCACTAGCAGAACACGCGTGCCAACAACAAGGACACTCAATTGATTTTGATAATGTTGAAGTTCTGTGCAAAACTAGCTACTACTGGCCAAGACTAATTAGAGAATCTAGCGAATTTAAAAGAAATAGAAATAACTGTAACCGTTCGGATAGCTACCGCCTTAGTGCTGCGTGGAAGCGAATCATCAAATAGCTCATTATTTAAATGCATGCCTACGATTATACGAAGGGCAGCTGACTTCAATAGGGGTTACCGTTGGTACGGCTTTTTCAATACACAAAATAGACAGCAAGGACTCAGAAACCCTTCCTCACCCACGTGGCGCAAGAGCGCAGAAGCGTGGTCACCACATCTACGCCTCGATATAAGGAACGAAAGAGGTGGACTTCTCCACAAATCTGGCTGACGCCTGATGAAGCTAGTTGTAATTACTGGCGAAACGTCGTACTCAGATTGTTAATGTTGTGGCTTGGCTCTCCAACACACCGGTTAGTGCTGTACTAGTATACTACACTATACACTACTATACACTACACACTAGTGCTGTACTAGTATACTACACTATACACTACTATAGACTACTATACACTACACTATACACTACACACTAGTGCTGTACTAGTGACGAATTGGCACGTTCTGTTTACCTAACTAGTTGGCTGTGTCGGGTGGCGGCAGGTTTTAACGACACATTTATATATTTACGCGATCTAAACAAAAAAAACCCTCTATTATGGATCACATCGGTCAGTGTGTGAGTGAATAGCAGTTTGAGAGAGCACTGCACATACATGGTTTTAGGCGGTCTTTTTTGAATAAAAAAAAATTCCAGATGAAAGCTATTAGATTAACATTTTCACCGGCATATATTGAGAAGCACACAAAGCCTTAAACATCAACAACCTAACTCAAACTACATTTTTATTTATTAAAATAAAAAGAAAAAAATTACCAAGAGGCTGCGTCTTATAATCCGAGGTATAAATCGACGGTTTTGTATTTTGCGAGCGCGCGTCACGTGGCCCCACCGGCGACCAATGGGAGCGGCCCCGCGGCGGAAGTCGACGGCGTGAGGCGGGCGCGAAGTCGTTGACCGCGAAGACGCTGGGCGCGATACATTTCTTGTTGTTTTTAAATTTACGTCAAATAACGAGGAGAACTAGCGTCGTTTTATTGCACGCAGAGCGATAACAACCGAGCGCGAGCCGAGAAATATCTGCGGAATGTAAGTACCCCCCTCGTGCAGAGGGTCACGTCAATGCGCTGTTAGCTGCTGCTGTCTGCTACTGAGGCCTAGTCCCGTCGCCAGCGTATCATCATCGTCAGCCATGGTCAATCCACTGCTGGATGAAGGCCTTTCCTCCCCCCCCCCCTCCACACTCCGAGCCGTCCGCATCTCTCGCGATCTTGCCATGCCAACGACCCCAACCATCGCCCTCACGCGAGCTGATTTGCATCTCCGCTGTGGGACGTCTTCTCGGAGCCGTGCCCGACCTGCCGCCCTCCGTCGCGAACCTTGACCATCGATAATCGTCGCCCCCCTTTCTCGCGACGAGGGCCTCCTGCCCAAGCCCGCGTGTTTCTCTTGACGGAGTTGCCCTCGGCCTGCGTGTTGTCATACCCACGTTGCGTCTCCGTGTCGCTGAGATTCCGATTCGTGCGTAACTCGGTGCGGTGCTGCCTGTGGTACCTCACGTCGGGTTTACACGAATGAACGTAACATGTTTAAATGCACGTGCGCATGTAATTAAGTTGAATTCATATACGCATTCAGTATTGTACCTCCTCCCACTGTAGTAGGTGGGAACGGTGGGTCACCCCATGGAGTGACCGGTCCCGCCATGGGAATATGGAATTTCCTCCACTGGTTGTACAGTGAAGAAAAGCACCCCATCTTCACGGTCGTCTGAATGAGAAACCACGTTGACTTGACGAAGCGCAAATGCGTACGAAGTTGGAACACTTTGTCACACGTGAGGTGAAGCACCGAGTTTCCTACCTCACTGCACGGATAGTATTCGTCGTTTGGGGTCTCACGGCCTGTGCCTCAGCAATTACAGGATCGTTACAAGTGGCAAAGGCTTGCAGAAGCCTTCATTCAGCAGTGGATTGATCATGGCTGATGATGATGATGACTAGCATGCCTTGAGACCGAGCTAGTTTCTACGATATTTCATCTGTTTCATAAACAGGTTACATTGTCGATTACTTATTTAGCAATGAACAAGGATTCACAGCCCTTTGTCAATAAACTATTTGTGCCTGTCAAAATATTTTTTGTATACTGCACTATGCTAGACCAGCGGTGCGTTATGATTTACAAAAATAAAACAAACTGTTTAGAGTAATCACTTTTACAATCACATGCTATTTGTTACAAATGGCACAATTAAAATTGTAATTGACCCCCAGGTTCGCTCGTGATGTGGGTGCCAATGACCGGTCCAATGTCGCTCGCTGCTGATTTATGTTCGTGTTGGATGAAAATTGAGTTGAGGTCACCAGGATCTGAGCAGAGTACTCGTGCCACTGCTCCCACCACTCGAAAACAATATAATATTGATTTAAATGAAGAAAAAAAACCAATGGGAATATGTTATGTAAGCTGTTTTATGTAACTAGTACATTGTGAAATATAGGGCCAATATACTGTATAGTAGTGAATTAGGTTTTAGTAATTGTTGATAAAGTACAGTATTTTTAATTTGTAAAAAAAATGCGAATGGGATGTTGAGAAAGGATGGACAATTTCGCAAGTGTTGTGAAGTTTCCACTCCATGCATGTACATATGTTGAACTTATTTTGTATCGTGCATAGCCAACCGTGCTAATCGGAGGTGCAGTTTCTAAAAATCAGATAAACAATGGAAACTCGCCAATGTAATTACAACACCCTTATTTTTTGCCAGCAACAGCTGCGCAGTGCTTATTTCCTACATTTCTAACTAAAACTTTGGACCATCCTTTCTGCAATGGACCGTTAATGCAACACATGTTAATGCTCTTCATTAACACTATTCAAACACTATTTTATAGACGCGTGCCAGTGTTAAATGAACCGTTACATTGTACTCTGTTACTTTTACTTAGTCTTTTAGTTCCTTTATTTTGCCAGGCGACATCCCATTGAGATTCATAGTAATACTAATCTAATGCCCTTTTTAAAATACACAAAAAATGCTCAAATTAGTAAAAAGACGGTTTTATTTCTTCAGGAAGTGATGTTTGGCCCATTGCTAAGTGTGTACTGTGCTGTGTTTAACACGTGGAACGAAAACCAGAGCGCCTTGCAGAAAACCCATAAATAGTAGCAAATTACTTTGTGGTTCTTTCGGTAAAGTCACGTAGAAAGAAAATAATTTAAATAATAGAATACGACGGTTCGATTGCAACACGAGCAATCGTCATCAGGTACGAATGAATGAGAAAACAAACCTAGTAAACTTAGAAATATAATGCAATCCAACACAGAGAGTCGGCTAACATAACAATCAACACCCTACTTGGTTGATTACGTTCTTCCAAAGATTGCTAAAATTTTGAGAGAGAGTAGCAAATGTCACTCCAAAAACCTGCGTAGGTAGCTGGGCGACCTACTAGGTATTCTCCCGATTACCTGATGCCCGGCCGGTGTCTCTGCAGTTTGAGATGTTTGTGCCACAGTCTCGGCGTGATCTACCAACTTATAAATTCTCCTGGTCACAGGCATGAGCCTGAAAGTGTAGAAAAGCATGAAACGGAGAGGAAAGTAAGCGAGAAAGGGAAAGAGAACAGTGAATGAACGCAACAAGCAATGGAAGAGAGGATTAGGGATTGGCAATTGAGATGGGAATGGGAGACGGAATAAGGAGAGCAAACCTGAGAGGTGAGAGAAACAGGGAGAGAGATGAGGGAGGGAACTGGGTAAGATACAGTGAAGGAATGAGAGGGGAAATAGGAATTAAGAAACAGACGCAAACACAAAGCAAACAATCAGGATACATTGGTATATACAGCACAGAGAAGGCATGAGGAAGGTGGAGAGACAGGGCTCTATTAGAATACAAGGTTGGCTGACTGGTAGGGACTGTTGGACGGTCATGTCCAAAGGACATGCGTTTTCCTAGTATATCACTTAACTTACTTGCCTGTAAAAGCAATGAGCACATTTTTTTAATCCCGCTGCCTCTGTCCACCCAGTAGTATAAATTGTGATACCACATCCGGCCAGCACATCGCGTGTGGTGAGTTAAAATGCGGGTACTCCTCTTCAAGATGTCTGGCCAGTAAGGAAGAGTCATAGAAAATTATCTCGACAGGTGCTCTTTAGATCTCTTCTCTGGTGGCGGATTTTTTGCCAGCAGTGGTGTGAGCAAGTAATTGCAGGGCTGTACCTTTACCTCTTATCTTTTGCACGTGCGTAACAGGGTTTGTGTTCAGCAACATCATGGAGCAGGGAGGAGACACACACATGGAGGTAGAGCACGCAGTTGACCCCTTCGCTGTAGACCCCGAGCCAAACCGCCGCATCATGGACATAAATCTCCAACTCGAAGACTCTGTTCCCCTTACCATCAACGACAACCAGGAACCTACAAGCTCCACAAATCAACATCACACAGCTTTCCCCTATGGTGCCGATCGCGACCCAGGCGCGGTCGCAAATTTGCTTATGTATGAAGACGTTGAAACGCTTGAAGCTAACACTGCTGCTGCACAAGCAGCGATGCAGCAGCGGCATGTCAGTGGAGTCGAGGGAACGGCTGGTCTGTCCAGAAGGAGGCCGTGGCGTTTCCGGACGTATGCGGCGCTCGGAGAGGCATCGGGCCAATCGCGGCCGCACGACACTCGGAGCGCACGGTCCACGAGGACGGGCGTTTTGCTGGAAACCGCTCCGGCGGCAACGGCTGCGACGGCAACACGGAGATCCACTAGGACTGGTGGAGGTGTCGGGAGTGGTGCCGCCAGGACCCATCATGAGGTGTCTTCAAATCTTCTCGCCAGCTTCTTCCGTGCGCAGGGAGCCACGCTTATGCAGGTGAGTTTTGTGAAATGGCCGTGACAGTCTCAGCCTCCTGAGTGAAAGTCTCGAGGCTCAATTCGAAGGCTGGGAGGTGTTCGCTTCTCCGTTACTGACCCTGAAATAGCGGTGGAAGTTATACACTCCTATGACGGCGATTCACCTGGCAGGATTTCATTTCCCGCCAAAGTACTCGTAGCTCTAGGACATGTTTGAGCTTTTACCGCGTGTTGTTTGCCATTTCACTCCATCTGCTGGGAGCTTTTTCAGGAGGTGAATTGAACACCGTTGAACTGAAATGAGCTCGATTCACTTCCTGAAGAAGCTCCCAGGTTGTGGATTGAAACATTGGACATCAGCCTGAAAACACATGAGAGGGCTTGCAGCAGAACTGCCAAAACCTACTGAAAGTGGTATCTTATTTTTTCTGAAAGGGTTCGCTCACAATGGTTACATTAAACCGGTCTATATTGTCTCGTGTGAAAGGGCCCCTGATTCTGTGTTGTTCACCGGCCAGACTGCACTCATGATTCGTGCTTAGGAACTAAGCATCCGCTTCCCCTCTGTGCTGTGCGCGAGTTTAGAGGGACGTGCAGATCGTGCTGGGTTCTGCGCGAGCCAACGGCGGCGACGATGATTCCTCCGATTCGGCCTCGGATCCCGGGAACCAGGAGCTGATTGAGCTGAGCGGCTCCGACGTGGACCCATATGACGAGAGCACCGAGGAGGCAGAGACGGCCTCTATTGTCGACAGCGGCGGTGAGCTTCGCTCGCAATCGCCGCCGGTTCCGCCGGGTCACTGCGAGAGGTGCTCCTTGCACCCCGCTGCTCTGAGCACCAAAAGCAAATAACCAAGAGAGTGCCCCGGTGAAGCGCCACCGCTAAGGTTAGGAGTAGAGTTCTGGTCGGTGGGAGGGCTAGTGCCAGTGTCTGGGTGGCTCGTAGAAGTGGGTGGGGGAGCAGCCCTGGAAGAATGACACCACAGACATGCTTCTGGAGTCACTTAATTTTTGGCTGGGGTCTGGATTTCACTGCAGGATCTCGGTGGTGCAGGCCGAGTGCTCTCACATGGCCATTATGAGTCCCAACAGCAGTCGGCCCAACTTTTTAGTCTTTTTGAAGCACAAAAAGTTTCAAAGTCAAGTCATAGTGCCTGACTGCTCAAACGGGCAGTGGGGCAGTGCTTATCTCTCTTGGCAACCCCGTGCTTATGGTGGAAATTACACATTCATGTGTTGATGGCCAGTCCATCCGTAGAGCAACCACTCTTGACTTATCGCAAAGTGATGCTCGTTTTAATAACTTCCAAGGAAGTAGACCCATGGCTCCTGACCAGAATTTTGACTCGCAGCTTTCCATTTGTGAGATTAGCGCTTTTCCAACTGTGCCACCTGGCTTAATAAACATAACATTGAAGGAAGTTCATTGTGCATTGATATATACCTTCCATAATTCATTCTGTTGTAACACTGTAGATCTGGATGCTTTGTCAGAAGATGGACATGAAAATGAAGAGCAGCTTCCATCTGCAAATAATGAGCCCACAGCAGCTCCACCTAGCGACCTGCAGGCGGTAAGTACAGATAGCGCCCGCCCCCCACAGATAAAGAAAACGATCTGTCTATAGCCTCTATCAGACTGTAAGGGGTAAGTGCTGTTTACAAACGCCTATTAAGCCACCAAGGTGCACGAGGCGGTGGTGTGGCTGGCGACACGCCCAGCCGCCTTCGACTCCCCAGTGCTGACGCATCCACGCAGCACCGGGTGTTTATCCATGATTGAGTTAACCTAGCCGAGGCCCAAGGCCCGGTTCTGGTTTCACCGCCCACTGATGTTATCTGTGGTTGGGAATCGTCAAGCTCATTTTGCCGGGTTGTTAGCACTGTACGCTAACCAATCAGCCACCACTCCCCCACACGTTTCCTATGTAGTGACGAGTGCATTCAAACAGTAAAAATTAATTGTGAACCCGGTCATCATGATCCTTCCCATGGGTGTGTGCGTGTGTCCTGATCTTTGCCGTGTGTGCGTCTTCGTCTTTGTGCTGCGTTTACGCGCAGGGCGGCCCCGTGGCTGGGTCGGCGGGACTCGGTGCGGGGACGTCGGCGGGAGAGGGACTCGGTGCGGGGACGTCGGCGGGAGAGGGAGCCGGTGCCGGGGCGGTGCTGCCGAACCCCTGCAAGCTGCCCACCGCCGCTTCACCAGGCGAAGAGGAACATGACCTGTGCCCCGTGTGCTTTGAGGCGTGGACCAATGCAGGATCCCACCGCCTGTGCACGCTTCGCTGCGGCCACCTCTTTGGATATTCCTGCATCGACAAGTGGCTCCGTGGTCAAGGGGGCAGGTGCCCACAGGTACGGGGGGCCCAGTGTTGGGGTGGGGGGGGGTGCGAGAATTCTCACGGGTTTGGTGGCAAGATCGGACCCACGTACCCTTAATCAAATGAAAGTGCGAGCAGTGTGTAACGCGTGTGTTTTCCCCTCTCTCCGCGTGTGACAGTGCAACAAGAAGGCGAAGCGCTCCGAGGTGGTTGTCCTCTATGCCAAGTCGATCAAGTCCGTGGACACGAGCGAGGAGGAGCGTTTGAAGAGGTGCAGGCTGACGGCACGTGTCATGTTTACCTCTCGTGTTTTGGTGACGGTTTTGATGTGTTAGGGGGGTTGGAGCGGTGGCACAATGGTTAGTCACCGTGCTATAAATTTGGCTTCCTGAAATTTTATTCCCGACCGCAGCAAACGTCAGTGGTGAGTGATATCTCAATCGGTCCTGGACATCCCCTCCTTCACTAAACGGCACTTACCAGCATGTTGAATCATGGTCAAGCAAGTTATAACCGACATAGTCGTCATCAATTAACTGACAAAGGGCTGTACATTTATTTTACATTACACGTTACCCGTTGCTTTTTCCTCATGATTACAATTGATTCGGCATAAAACAGTAAAAGCGAACTGAATATGAATTTTACTTCGTTTGGAATCCATTTGGCTTATGGTAAATACACCCGCAGTATGAATTAGAGTGGCAGCTGGGTTCCGGCCGCCAACATCCGCAGCAAACGACAGTCGCGCTACCGCTAGGCCATGACACCGCCCCAGTGACACGTACTTCTCTCTTATCCTGGCAGCGAGCTCGCAACGCAGCAAGTGCAGCGGAGGAAGGCCGAGCTGGAGTCGGCTCAGTGCCGCCTGCAGATGCAGGTGGTGTCGGAGGAGTATCGCAAGCTCAAGCACCAGCTGCAGGTGGCTGACGGAGTCTTGGCTCCCACGATCGTGTTGTGTCTGTCTTGCCAAACGACTGCCGTGTCGTTCCGGGTCTCTTGGCCTGCGTTTGAACGTTTTGGAGCCAAAGTCGAATCATCTGTCTGATCCGATGAGTAATTGGGCAGCACTAGTTTAGAATTACACAATCCTCTGACAGTGGCCAGTGTCTCCGTACGTTGGCTGCTGTTGATATCTTGCATAATGGAACACATATTGACTCCGGAGGGATGATGGGGGTAAGTTGTGTACCCTGACAGGGATTTTACTCGCAGCCCTCCGATAACAAATTGTTTGGTAAATTCGCAGCACCATCAGATAAAATATAAGCAGTGTGCAAAGTCGGAAATGATGATGAAGATTATGGTGATGTTTGATGATGAATATTCTTTATTTGAGTACAATAATGAAAATGTATTATTTTTAATTAGAATGATCATGTGAATTGTTTGAAGATTTGTTTATTGAACAAATGCATGTTAGAGGAAAACCCAGCCCAAAAAAGCAAACATCTTACTGTATTGTGTACCTAGATTGTGTGTCACACGTGGTCTGACGTGAGTGTTAAGATTTGTTAATGAGAAAAAAACTTTTAAAATCACTGCTTACCAGCGTGAGTCTACCCGGCAACAATGAGTGTGTACAACTGAGCCGATTGCCAGGTTAAGCGTGGTGGGGTAAAGGGTGGGTACTCCTCCAAGGCGTGTAGCCAACGTGGAAGAGTAGCCCAAATACCGTCTAGAGGCACTCTCTTGAACTCCCCTCGAGCGGAAGCCCCTTCCTTCCGCCAGCCGTGAATTGAGCAAACAATTGTGCCAGCATTTCAGTGTGCTCCCCTGTCGCCTCTGTTCATCCCGTGCTCACGACAGGAGCTCCGCTCCACACTGTCCCAATACGGCGCGGGGTCAAGCTGCACGCCGTCGAGCCAGGGAGAGGGCAGCGGCGCCGTCGGCACCTCCCAAATATACAACTTCACCAAGGGCCTCACCGTGTCGGCTGGCGGTGGATGCCGCGTCATGGCCTTCTCGTCCGCCCAGGGTTGCCTCGTGGCCTCGCAGCCCTCGCCCCATGCCTCCTTCATGCCAGGCACGGCTCATGGGGGCATCTGGAGAGGAGAGATTCAGCAAGGGCTGCTGGTCTTGGGTGGCGTTGTTCGGTTTCATTGGGATTTATTTATTGGAATGGTTTTCGTTCACATTGACTCCGTAACAATGGTCACAAAAAAAGTAAAATGCTTACCCCATTCTGGCAGGGTAATAGACACCTATTATCACAAGACATCAAGTCTGCATTAACCACACAAACTTCTGGTCCAACATACAAACAAATATATGCATTGTCCTTGAAACTGATTGGCCTACACCAGAGAGAGTCTCTCTTCCTGTTTTAAAGCAGCATGTTCGTAATCAAATTCAGGAAGTTGACTTTCAATTAGCATTGCCGTATTCTCTGGATTACAAAATGCACTTCAAAAAAATGGCTCCAAAGATTGGGGCGCGCCTTACTTTCCGGAGGTGTCTGATAATCTGGAGAATGCGGTAACCTCCATCGAGATTAATATAAGAACGATTGTTCACAATCATTGGCATCGTCTCCAAAACGATGGTCCACTTTAATTTCATCGACCGGACTAAATGTCATCACGCCTGCGCCGTGCGCCTCCTCCACTTGTCATGTGACCCCTGCGCGTCGCCCCGCCAGGTTTCGGGGTGAAGAAGATCAGTGGCGGGGACCTGAAGAGCACGCAGTACGTGCCCATCCACAGCAACCAGATACGTGGCCTCTCCTTCAGCAGCCACGGCGACAGCCTGCTGCTGTCCGCCTCGCTTGACAACACCGTCCGCATCACCAGGTGCCACGCTACGCACGCCGCGTGTGAAGCCCGGCGTGGTCCACCGGGGCTCGGCGCGCGCCCAATGCCTCTTTTCCGCAGTGCGGCCGAGCCGTGCCGATCCAGTCTGGTGTGGTTCGGGAGGATGCCGGGTTGTTTTTTTCCGACGCAGGAGCCAAGCCGCGTCGCTCGCATCGCACGCAATGAGCAATTCGAGATGCGTGTAGACGATGCGGTGATGCTTCGTTTCAGTTGTGTACTGCAATGCACATGTCATTAGCCCTGGCCCTGCTTTGGTCCTGGCTCGGCGTGGAAAATAATCACCCATAGCCTGAAGTCCCTGCATTCGCTGGACTCGGATGTGCCAGTGGAAAAGGGGTATGAAGGGCAACCTCTCTCTTTACTCTTCATCATTTTGCTAATTTCTAGACTGGACGAATTCCTTCCACTCCGGTCGAAGACAAACGCTTATGTTGGACAGCGTAATGTAACCCGTGGGCGCGCACGATTTGTCCTAATTTTTTTTTTTTTTATTTGACATCGCCCTCTCCGCAAGCCTGACGAGCAACACGGTGGTGCAGACGTACCAGGCGGGCAAGCCCGTGTGGAGCTGCTGCTGGTGCGGCGACGAACAAATGTACCTCTTTGCGGGGCTCCTCAATGGCACCATCCTGGTGTACGACATGCGGGACACGCGCACGCACGTGCAGGAGCTGCCCCCACATGGCGCCAGGTCGGCACGCTCGCCCACACCGCCGCGTGCAATCCTCAACGGGAATTTGACTTGGCTCACTTGGCTTTTGCATAAGTAATTCGTATTTCTATCGATCGAATGGTTGGCGTACAGAGAACAATTGTTTTTTCTAGGGAAGCCTCATTCTGCCTTAAGACTGTCGGAGAATCTTGCTTGCAGAGTTTGACTAACGACTCAATAGCTGTGCGATACAAGAGAGTAGAAATCTCTGGACATATGAGGGAACAATACTCGGCAACCACTTTCCCTGCCGCTGTCTGCAGGCCACCACCTAACTCTGCAAGTGGGGCCTTAGACACACCCGCACAACGATCTGTGCTGGCGCCTCAATGTTTATTATATAATACAAATTACAGTAAAACCTTGGATTGCGAGCATAATTCGTTCCGGAAACGTGTTTGTAATCCAAAGCACTCGTATATCAAAGCACTCGTATATCAGTTGTGATCACGTGACGCTCGGCAGACAAAGCGTACACGTACTACTCGTATTGCAAGACGTCGCTCGTTTATCAAATGAATATTTATTTAAAAAATTTGCTTGTCTTGCAAAACTCGCAGACCAAGTTACTCGCAATCCAAGGTTTTACTGTATAATTAACCTTGGAAGGCCTCGCTGAGTCTCAATACACTTTTTTCAGTAGGGTCCTACATTGATATGAATTACTATTTGGCAAGGGAGATGAAACTGGAATACCCGGAGAAAACCCACCGCACGTACTAGCGGATAAGGCTGCAACGTCAGAGCAACTAGGTTAAAACCAGTCGGCCTTAATAAATGCAATCTCTTATGTTTACCGAACCCCATTGTTGTGCTGCTACACATCACCTGGCCACCTACCAGTCCACAGCCCCACGCGTACAACACCTGGTATAGGCGAGTGGGCAAACATCAAAGCACTGTGCAGATTCGGCATTGCTTCGCTTCTCAGATTGGGTGCATTCAGAGTGACCTGGTCGTGGACATCTGGTTGGTTTGATTTGAGACGATTTTAACAATTTGTATTTGTGAGTGATGGCATGAAACCTCAGACGGCCCAGCCTTGTGTGCTTTACACGACAAATAACTCCCTGCGTACTCTAACCCTATGTATACATCCTTTCTCGGTGGCATGGGAAGACCTTCATCCAGCAGTATATTGGCAACAATTGATAATTTGCAATATAATAACAGAGCACCCAACGGTTTCACCTGTTTTTGCTTCTGCGGTGTTCTAGAGGCCGCGTTATTCCACACCAAAAACACATTCTGTGCTGTGCCTCCTCGTAGCTAAAACGTACCGTCGTCCTAACATGCGTGTGCGCACGCACGCACGCGCATTTTCCAGGTGCCCTGTGGCATCGCTGAGCTACATCCCGCATGGGGGCGCGTCCCCATTGGCGGCCCTGCCGATGGGCGGGCTCCTCGCCGGGACGCTGGAGGGCGGCTGCTTCTGGGAGCGCCGACCGGGCGGCAGCTTCGTGCCACACGCGCTCTCGGCGGAGCCCGGCGGCGGATGCATCGACGTGCAGTGTGAGCCCCACAGCCGCCACTGCCTCGTCACCTACCGGCCCGGTGAGACGCCCTGCCCTTGTGTGCGCGTGTGCATTTATACGTGGGTATGTCATGTGCGGTTGGGAGAGCGGTGGCAAAAGTGGTTGGTGCGCCCCGCTCGAACCCGGCGACCCTGGTTCGATTCCCGCTCACAGTGACAAATAACTGACCAGTTCAGCCTGGGTCAACCAGTCCCTAGGTTGACCCAGCATGAAATGAATGTCTTGGTGAGCTGTGTAAACATCAGAATTGGACATACAAATGCGGCCAGGCGTGGCGCTGGCCACTCACCCCCTCTGTGCCATGCCAGCCTTAATAAGTACTCGCTATAGCAGCACTTGCCTCCAACAGTCACTTCGGTCTACACGGGGTATGTTTGTCGTGCGCTGTCGTTTTGTCAATGTTCATCATCCCCTCCCCAATCCCTTCATGATTAAATTAATGGTTATGATTCAGTAGGGGATGGGAGAGGGTGTAATGACTCGCCACCCCCTTCCAAATAACTGCATTGGAACCAGAGCTGCCCCACGACCTGCATAGTGTGGGAAGTCCCTTATCCAGCAGTAGCCTGTGAAAGGGGCTGTACACGCAAATAAACGTGTTGAACACACGCACACACGCGCGTGCGTGCCTGCGATCCATACACTCGCGAGCAGGCCGGACTCAGACGTCGGTGCGCTGCGTGTTGCTGGAGCTGGATTCAGTCCCAGAGCCCGGAGACCCCGCGCGCGTCCGCGTTGCCTGCAACCCCGTGCAGACGTTCCACACCGGCTCCACGTGCAAGCTGCTCAACAAGAACGCCATCTTCCCGAGCCCCGCGCACGACGGCAGCCTGCTGGTGTGCACCGGAGACGAGGCCTCCAACTGCGCCATGGTGGGAGCCGCTCCCACCCCTTGCCTGCGCCCCCACCCCCAGCCTCCAGTCATATCTAGGCCCAATTCAGTAATTTTCCGCATTAAGTTGAAACATGTTTATGCATTATTTCTAATCCGTCTACCCTGTCCGTAACAGAGAGCGGCAGGCAGAATAACTCGTAAAGACGGTTAAAATGAACAAGCCTCTTTTATAATGTTGTGTAGCTATTAGGGACTTACCCTTTTGAAAACTGGTCACATTTATCAAAACAAATATGCAAATGTTTTTTTCCCCAGCGTGCTACCCTTCAGTTTCCCTGCTGCTAATTCAGTGCTTTCAAGGACATAATTTACGTTTGGAAAGCGTTACATAATTTATGCGTGCGTGTGATTTGTACCTTGAATTTATTCTCATTGACTAGTTCAGCACGTTCAGAAAAAAAACAACCCCGACGTAATTACAAATCCTCTTTTTATGTAACCCTCCGCAGGTTGTATTACTATGCCGTGCATACAGCATTGGGGGTGTCTTATCACAGGGCCGTTTATTTCGAGCGACAGAATGGATCTATGCTGGTACGCAAGGCTATGTGTGGTCACGCATTTTATCGCTTTGCAGGTCTGGAAATCCACCACAGGCTCTCTTCTGCAAAAGCTGCCAGCTCAACAGCCGGTGCTTGACATCTGTCCCTTCCAGATGAATCAACACAACTACCTGGCCACGCTAACTGAGAAGATGGTGAAGCTATACCAGTGGGGTTAGGATTGGGGAAGGCTTCGAGGGGAGCTCGGACGTTGCACAACAACGACAGCGATTGGAAAAACGCATCCTTAACGAAAAGCACCCACCCGGGTGACGCTTTCATTAAAAGTATCCCCACTGAAAAGTATTCACGTTAACTTTGTTCAACCGGGGTGAGAACTCGAGATACCCTCGGATCAGTCGCATTTGCAAGATTGCCCTAGATCACCAAAGTGACAAGCAAAACAATTAAGTACATCGGTGAAGCAAAATAGAAATCCGAAGGAGAAAAACCTGCGTTTGATGAGAAATAGAAATATTGTACTATCATTAATCAATATTTCATTTTTAAATCTGTTTAGTGTGAGTCGGCTTGGGCAGATGTTTTTTCAGACTGAGCATAGCACAATTACAAAATTAAGTTACACAAACGTTAAAACAGATGCAGGGTGACCAAGGTCGTGGGTTCGACTCGGCTCTTCATCCCTCCGGAAGTAATAAATTAAGTCCAACGTCTTGTGGAGAGACTGCCCCTGGCCTGGGAATGTGGGTTTTCCCACTCTGGCTCAAGGTCCACCAACAGAAGATAAGTGCCGCCACCATTGCTCGCGGATATCAGGAAGACGGTTTGAAAGTTTGGACTTTCGAATTAAAAACCACCGCCGATGTCGTTTCGGAGTTGAATGCTGTTAACATCCCACTCCAGTGCTTATGCATCTTGGCCTGCTGATGCATTATCTTAATCTTGGGAGGATGAAAACAAGGAGACCAAATTAGCACTGTTAAAGCGAATGACTGTTCTCTGGGACACGCCGCAGGCTGCGGACGGCGGTCTTGAGATCACGCACGTCTGACTGTCTCTGCAGCTGGAAGACCAGCTTACTTGGGCCGTGCGGGCCAAATAAAGTTACGCGTGCAAACGTGAAATGTATCAAAAAGTATATATATATTTTTTTTACATTTGTTAAAATTTTCATGCAGGCTTGCGTGGGAATTAGTAGACATTATTAGTGGTGGGGGGGGGACAGCTGTTAGGTCGATTGTATTCTATTTAGGCTGACTGTGAGATCGCCGCTGTTCGCAGAGGTTTGCTCGTTGAATCCAGCGGCCGCAATGGTTATTAGTCGCGGGCGTATTCACAACTAACAGTCTGTGCCTGTAGGGGACGTTGAAGATCCTGCCATGTTGTTCACAAGAGTGTCGGCCCATTGTGTTTGCCTGCGTCATGGTCCAATTTTTTTTTCGTATTTAAATGTTACCCGCAAATCACTCAATTGGAATGTACATATCGATTGTTGCCCCATATTCATAACCCTGGCAGGACCCTCCTGAAAACGAGTTATGAGAAAACGAGTGATTTTGCTGTATAAAGAAGTATAATAAATAATTTTAGTTAGTGACTTAACTTATTTGACCTTTTATATTAAAAAATGTATCACTGTGGTTGAATATGAACCAATGTCAGTCAGTTTAGTATGTATACAATCCTATATTTCAGTCGAAAATGGAACCACATTTTAACTAGTCAAATTATATTATAGGGAGCACATTCATCGTCTGCCCAGATCCATCCACTGCTCAATGAAAGCCTAATCAATCCCTAATAGTCTGTAAATGCAATAAATAATCCACCTCGCATCTTCATACGAGCCGGACTCATCGCTGCATCTACACAGTGGATGTCCTTTAAAGCGTGGCCCTCCTCATTTTGGCTGCCACTCCCATCAGCAGTCTCAACCAATGGCCATGCATTCCCTTCTCGCAACGTGTCCTGCCCAAGCACACGTTTCTTAACGCTCAATGTGATGTCTAGAGCTTGTGTCTGTCTTCTCTGATCCATGTGTTCCTCCTCCTGTGCAATTCCCAGCATGTACTTTTTCACGCGTTTTTTGCGCACTTTTCGGCTTTTGTTCCACACTTTGTCAATGTCGATCTTAATGTTCCTGTCATAGCAGGGACTACTTTAGGAGAGCATAATGAAAGTACAAATATTCCCAAGAAAACATGTTAAAATATATTCAGAATACTGTAACAGACCACATTTCAATTTAAATACTTTCATAATACTTTGAATTTCAATCACAAAGTTGAACTTTATACAGCAGCACATTGTGGCGGGTACCAAATTTCACTAAAATTGTGGGCGAACGGAAGGAGAATGAGCATTGTTAAGGGAGACGAACACGCAAATTGCGGCCAGGATAAAAACTGGCGATCCCAGACTTTCCCTGCGGCGTGGCGGGTCGTGACGCTTTTGCTGATTGGCACAAAACCCAGCGCCTCACTCCGCGTGCGAGCATGGAGCCTCGTGAGCTGCCTGGATCACAGCCTCGACGTCGGTGGTTCTGGACGACCACAGAAGCTGAAAGAAAGGGTTCCAGCGATCGGATCGGTCTTCGGAAGAATTCGACCCTCCGATTGCTTAGCTACTCGAATCAAACCTCAACTCGAGTCGATGAGGATCGCAAGGGTGACGATTGGGGGAAGATCGCGAGTTGGTACCGAAGCCGGGCGTCGTCTTCGCCCATCCGGACTCGAAAAAGCGAGTACCACTTTGTGAGCAGTCGACGGTGCTCGTCTTCTAGAGAAACTGGACCCCTCCATAGGATCGTGAAGTTTCCACTGCCGGCTCACAGGCGCCAATGGGGGATGAGCGGTGGACCTTTGCGAGCGCACCACCATGATTTGCCCTTGACATTTTAAGACGTCACCAAAGTTTGGGATGTTGAGAGAATGGCGCTCGTTTTGGGAACGAGGACTTTTCGCAACAGGCTCAGGGCTGGCTATAGATATACATGTTTGATCTTCACACTTGCGTAAACTGTTTACAAATAAAGTACGCTTTTTCAAGAAAAGTTAAATTGTAACATCACTTGTACACCAATACCGCGCAATCTCTCTGCCATTGTCCTTGTCGGCAAGGTTCGTCTTCGATTTGCTTCTCTGATGTGTTCGGGGGTTGAGGCCCGTGTGCGTCGTGAGATGCTTCATTTCACTCATCGTGCTGGGAGCTTCAGGAACTGATTCTTGGCAATGTGTAGGTTCCCTCCCGGTGCACGCGAAGCCCCCGGCACGTGCAGCGAAACGTCGGACATCGTGCCGAACAGCACGCAGTACAATCTGTGCAATAAAATTGCAAAAACCTACTCTGTAGTTGACGGTTCGAGAGCCTGAATGTTAAAATTTGTGAAGATTTATTTTCGTTGGACTGAAGTTCCGTTGTTATTTCGAGGTCGGTTTTTCTTTCGCCTGCTGCGTTTTGTGCACTCGCCTGAAACTTGAGCTCATTGACTGTACACTTTAGAAGCGTATTTCTCCTTTGTGGAAAAATACACGGATTGTTTACTAAAGCTGAATTATTGCGGTGTTCAAATTGCAGAGCCTCCTTGTTGCAAGAGCTGCCAAAAACAAAATCAATGCAGTCTTCTGTTTAGTTTCTTTCATAAATATCCTTGCTGCTGCATTTAGCCTTAATACATTAACCCATCGTGCACTGCAATAAGGCAGCTGTGATGTTTTTTACTTAATATTTTTGCCAAAAAAGGGCTTTCTGGTTATCTGTAAAATGTCAATAACTCGGAGGAGGCATCACCCACATCCACAAAGCGTCCACAAAGGCGATTAAATGTCTTAATAACCTCACTGTATAGAATGGTTAAAAATTCACCTTACCTTACGAAAGAAATGGACTCGTAAATCTGTTGCCATCGGTTGTAACGCTCGTGCAATGTTCTCATCTTAGAGGCGTGGGGCATCCTCGAATCACTGCAGGGGAATCGACGGTTCATTTCCCACAGCTATCCAATCGATTTTCCAGGGAATTAGCAAAGCGACGCGGCTGCTGAGTGGACATTCAGGACCGTGTGACATCAGCATTTGAAAGCGTCAAGCCATTGTGCCCAGCGTCTCGGCTGAAAGGCTGACTTTGGAAATTACTCAGTCGAGTTAGGCATAAAATAATAACTCCCAACATTTTATGTTTCCAAGGGCTCTTTCCAAAACATAACGAAAATTGTAAGGGCTCTGATATGGTTAAATAAGGTGCAACAACACAAGCTCTCTTAAACAGGCAGCCACGAGGCGTGTATGGTTTATTCACGCACGTGTCAATTCTGTAAAGCATCCTAAGACATTAATGGCCTTCTCGTGTTCTGCCACCAGTTGTCAGTTTCACAGTAAAAAGCACGAAGCGGTGTGGCCCAGCGGGCAGCGTTGGTGAGGCCCTCTGTTGTGCACAGACCAATAGATGTCCCTTGGCCTGTGTTTCACCACAGTCACGTGTACCAGGGCCGTTGAGAGTAGCCCCACGTCTGTACGTTCGCTATTGAGCTTACGACTGGTTCTAAGACGATGTAGACACCTCCAGCCTGTGACCGATATTTAACTGCGCCCGCTGGCGCGACTGTTGGGCAGCACGAATGTAACTTTGCTACGTGTGATCGAGCCGTCAAGGAGCACAAACTCCGGTCACCCTCCTAGCGGCGTTTGGCTGGCCATCGAACAAAGACGATCACTGCATCGCGCGCTTTCAGATGCGCTCCTGCCGTCTGGAAAGCTCTTCCTTCCGATATTAAGATTCCACTGGAGCTTTGCACTTTTAAATAATTTAGATTGAAAACTAATTTCTTTAGAACTGCTTTGTGTGTTTAGATTGTTGTCCTTTTCCCGCACCTCCGATTGGCGTGGTTGGCTGCGTACGGTGCGAACGAAGTTCAACGCGCATCCGTGCTGCCGCCGCCGGATCATTCGTGACAATGGCCTGCAATTTACATCAGCTCCATAATACATGTTTTTTTGGGTTAGATTGCGTAAATGTGTCGTCTCTATTTCACGGATCGAAACACGAGGATTGTTCCACGAATTTGTCGCCTGATGATGCTCGTAATTAATAGCAAAACGTCGTACTCGGATTGTAAATGTTGTGGATTTACTCTCCAACACCGGTTAGTGCTGTACTAGTAACGAATTGGCACGTTCTGTTTACGTGACAAACCTCACTAATTGGCTGTGTCGGGTGGTGGCGGGTTTAACGACACATTCATATTTACGCGATCTCATCCAAAAAAAACCCTGCATGACAGACGATATTGGTCGTGTTAAACTGACAACATCTGCTCCATAAGGTGGCGCTGCGGCAGAGTGCTCAACCAAACAGGCGGCAGGGTGGCGAGTTTAAATCGTTGCTGGGCAGGTGGTGGTAGGGGGTGGCGGTTCATTCCTTAATCCCTCCGGGATTACACAAATTGGTGTCGTGTTGTGGGAATTTAACAGCACTTGTGCTATGGAGAAGACTGGTATTGGTCAAATCGATGTGGTTATCCGCTAACTAGTTCAGGTCAAGCAAGTGGAGGGAGAGGGGGCACTGAAATATGCTCAATTAATTGTGTGAGAACGTATTGATTTTTTTAAAATGAAAGTTAAGACCACACATGGCTGCGTTGTAAGTCACACACGTTTTCACCCCAGGACGTAACAATTTAGGGAGATGCACGGATTTGCACCATTGCCGTGGTCCAGTCCGGCACGAGTGCAGTGTCGTGGTGGGATCTCTGCCTCGAGATGCCAGCGGGAACAGTTTATAAGCAGCGCGCTTTAATGTCGCGTGATGGTGCCTTCCTGAAAGGTCTCTGGGGGTAAAAGCCATGGATTTGAAAAAAAAATGCCAGAAAGCTCCTTTAAATTATAAAGGAGGTAATTAAGTAAATAAATAGGAAAAGCTTAATCCATTTTCGTTTCTGCAATGAGGCTCAAACGTGGCGTGTGTGCTGGTGGAGTCACAGAGGCCACGCCACTGCATAGGCCGCTTCTAGATCGGCGGCGGCGTTGTGTTTTGTCTACACGCGCCATGCTGACAGACAGGATACGGGAGCATTGTCAATGTTTACATTTTACTCGTGTGCATGCGGCTGTGCGGTCGGACGTGGCACAACATTGTGTACTGTGTGTGTGTATTGTGTGTGTGTACTGTGTGTGTGTACTGTGTGCACTGTGTGTATTATCTACTGTGTGTGCACTGTGTGTGTACTGTGTGCACTGTGTGTATTGTCTACTGTGTGTATATTGTGTACTGTGTGTGTACTGTGTGCGCGACTCAGCAGGCAGCTTTCTCCGTGCGGTTTCACTTTTTGGAACGCATCTAGCGCACACAGCGAGGGCAAGCAGTGAGTGGTGAGGAGCGATCGATGAGGGGTGAGGAGTGAGAGGTGAGCTGTGTGCGGTGTGCGTGTGTGACCACGACCGCGTCTCCCCGCACCACCTCACCGCAGGGTCCTCGACTGCCGCTCCGAGGGTCGCGAGACGGGGACTTGAGAGGGGTCTCTCCGAGACCTCCCCAGAAGAAGCGCCGCGCTCTTCTCGAGGCGACATCTTCATTACCTCATCTTCACCTCATCTCATTCGTATCGATAATTATTCTCGGGGGGGCGGGGGGGGGGGTGTTTCAAATTGGTTCGTTTCTACGAGCATGCGGTGTAACAACAATAACATCACCACCACCACCACCACCGTTCGGGTTTGTTTACGAGTGAATCACGTGCATCGATAGCAATCGATTGTCACGCGAAACATGACGCGATCGGGGGTCGGTCAGCTGTGCAAGTCGCTCGCGCCGCCGCTCCGTGCCCGCTCCTAGCCGGGTTGCTGACCAGGGCCGTGTGACCCCCACCAGAGCCGTCCCGAGTGGTGTACCGCCCCGGGCCCCGCGCTTTGGGGGGTGGGGGGGGGCGCTTCGACGTCACGGTGAAAGATATAACACAAATATAATAAAGATATAATACAGATATACATTTCGATTTAAAGCTTTCGTGACTGCAGAGATTCAACTTCTTGGCTCTTTCGGTAAAGTCACGTAGAAGGGAATTAATAAACTACAGATATAATTCAGATATAATCCAGGTCGAATCCAGATATAATACTTCAGGTTTAGTTTGAAGGCATTGGGGGGGGGGGGGCACAAGGTGGGATTTGCCCCGCGCCCCCCATCGGCGCGCGCCGTGTGTGCGAATGCACCACCCACACACGGCGTGAGTCACGGCTCCGTGTCGCACGGGCAGATCGATGCTCGCTTTGAAGCTGGCATCACGCCCCCACCGCTGTGCTCCACGACTTTCTCGAGTTGGTGTACGCGCATGAACACAGACAAAGGTCCCCTGTGTAGTCAGTGCCGGATTAAGCTAGTTGGGGGGCCTGATAGCATCTGTTATAAAGAGGTCCTAAATAAATAAAAGCACCTAAATATTAAAACACAAATTGTTTACTTGCATAGTAAAGTAATTGTATTTTTTTCATTTGCTATACAGCCAGATAATACGACAAATCGCTCGTAAAAGTTGAAGTCAGTATAGTACTATAGTAATGGAGCAAGTGCAGAATCACTGAACCGGAATTGATAGCTTGAAATAATTTAACGCAGGGCCCTTGGAAAGAGCGGGGCCCGTAGCATATGCTACTTTTGCCCGGCCGCCTTTGTCTCCTGAGTGGCGATGTTTACACACCGCGTCAGGTACTCCTTTGAGGCTGAGTCGGCCTAGGGGAGGTCCAGGACCGGTTCAAACATTCGCAAATGTTTTTGGTTCGTAGTGCAATGCACTCGCATTTCGCCGAAGGCCACCTAACAATGCACCCAAAGAAAACCCACGCATACGAGGGAATTAAACAACCTACCTGCTATACTGCCTCTTATAGGCGCCTATTGTTACGTCCATTTATGTTTTTCTCAGTCTTGATACATTTCTGATCCAACATTTCTATATTCACTGCAAAATTGCAATGGAAATTTGGTGAAGATTTTACATTTTTTATTACAATTGCAATGTCTTTTAGTAAGTATTTTGTGTTGGATGCAATAAACCTTTTCCCCATTTTCAAAATTGTCACCCTTATCCGTGAATTTGTACAACAGTATGCTGATAATAAAGTTAAAGGTGGAATGTGTGACTTCTGCATCAGCCTGGTTTACTGAAATACAAAGAAGCAGGGGCTGTCGGACGGATCAGCTGCTTCGAGTTTACAGCGTCCATAAAAAAAATTATCGCCAGAATCACATCCTCGCAAATGTTCAGTTTTGTCGAGATTGTAGCAATATTTTCCCATCGCCAACAAAGGGACGAATCGCGTGAGCGATGTGAAAAGTGTTGGCCGTTTGCCGAGATGGGAATCAGGTCTAAAATTAATTGACCATTCAAACAATTTCTATTTTACTAGGTAAGGCCCACTGAGCTATGTAGCTCTTTTTCAGAAGCGACCTGGACACAAATTATAGCTCAAAAAAGTGGCTCATCATGTGGAAATTTATAGCAGCTAAATACTCACAACGCACGCTTCTAAATGAAGAGGGGAAACCCGGAGGACCCAAAGAAAAATCCACACGACCACGGGAAGAGAGAGAGAGAACGTGCAAACTCCAAATATTTAGGCGTCAGGGTTGGGATCTAACCCACGACCTCCTGCATACCAGGGCGAGGGAGATACCATCTTGCCACCGTGACACCCTAATGCCGTGCTCAAAGGTAAGAGCGGTGGTCTGGAGCCAGCGATTAACATTCCACGTTACTATGATGAGGGCTAATAAACCCTTTGCATGGCACGATCTGTTGACTTCCCATAAAGTATAGCTTATGTTATTAACCCCGAAGAACGATGAACTGAGCCAGAAACAGCACTAGGATTTCAACTTGTAACTATAATTATTAGACGAGTAGTCTCGTCACGGCCCCGAAGCGTGAAAGTGACCACACGTCCACGTTTTTTTCATTAACTTTTGGGCAGACATCCGAGGACAGCTTCCATCCCTTGGGCTGTCACTCCGTTATTGGTCTTGTCCAGCGGGCGCGTGGTCATACATAGGACACGTGCTATGAAGAAGGGCCATTGCCCGGAACGTCGCCAATCATGCTTATTTTTCATCGTAAGTCCGTAGTGATATTGTTGGTTTTCTTTGTTCGTTGGATATTGACAAATTCGTTGAGTAGATAAAAAATATTTATTTTGGTATTTGTGCTCGTGCACCACTGCCAACGCAGCAGCAGCAGCACCGCCAGGTATGACGTGCCCCCCCCCCCCCCCCATTGTTGGCAGTCACGGTGCGATGCTTCCCACTCAACCACCCCCTGGCAATCGGACAGCAACGGGCACGCATAGCCACGCTATACCTATCCGCTCTAGCATATCAAACCCATCGGGGTAGCCGCCTACACTGAGCGACGGGGGGGGCCTCTCCGCGCGGGGGGGAGGGGCGGGGGCCGCGCGCGTGACCCCGCCCCCCACCCAGCGCCTATCCGTGCTGGGAAATACAACGGCGGCCCCCGAGGTGAGTGGGGGTGAAGAGGCAGCAGCAGCAGCAGCGAAGATGGCGCCGCCGCCGCTAGCGCGACGTGTCCGCCGCGGGGCCGCGAGCAGCACCGCTCCGCTCTGCTGCTTCTTCTTCGTCGTCGCCGTCGTCTTCGCCGCCGCGCTGGGCCTCGTCAACGGCGACGACGACAACGCCATCCAACGCAACTCGAACAACCGCAACGGCGGCGGCGGAGGCGCCGCGTCGTCGCGCGAGGGCGAGGCGGCTGCGGGTCACCCCGTCGACGCTGTCGGGGCGGCCGGAGCGGCCGTGGCGCAGCCGGCGGGAGGATACGGGCTCGAGGGGGCCGCGGGGCCTCCCGCCCCCCCCAACAACAACGCGCCCAGGAGGCCGATGCAGAAGCGAGGCCCGCAGGGCCCCGCGTGGAAGATCGCGGAGGAGGCGGCGTGCACCGACGACGTCAAGCACCTGTGCCCCAAGAATACGTGGGGCAACAACTTCGCGGTGCTCGAGTGTCTGCAGGACAACCCCGAGGTGCGTGTGTGAAGGGCGGGGAGGACGACGAGGCCCGTGGGGCTCCGTGTCGCGGGCCCCCGCGGCTTTTGCGTCCACGATTATCTTGACTCTGTTATCGTGGTGGTGGTGGTGGTGGGGTTCTCGGTCTCCCCAGACTCCGTGAGGCTCTCTGTTAGGTGGCATGGTCATGAGTGTGTGAGTCCGTGGGGCTCTTATTAGAGTCTCATCGTGGCTACGAGTCCCTGGGTCCCGACTTTGGTGAGGCCCCATCGAGACTTGGCTCAGTCCGTCGGCCTCCAATCCGCGCGTCTTAATCACGGTGACTGCCATCCCCGACTCCTGCGTCAGCGATTAAACGAGAGTCTCATGGCTCGCTTGAGGAGCCGTGACTCACTCCGACTCTGGTTAATGGATGCCTCATGGCGGACGTCTTCAGTGGTGCCTCGTGGAGTCGCATCGGCTGCTGCTGCTGCTTCCGTGTCCGGCTGACTTAACGCTGCCCCCCTTCGTTGCTGACTCATTGAATCCACAGTCTTCGTCACCAGCACCACCGCTCCGTTATCACCAAATCTGCTGTTATCTGCCTCGCCACCACTACCATTTCCTCTATCACCATCTTCCCTATCGCCGCCTTGTCAACCACTGTCCCCATTAACGCCTCCATTGCCACCTCCACGATGACCTTTCTCACCACCTCCATCAACAACATTTTTTTCATCACCACATCTTCCCATCACGACCACTTCCCTCCATCACCTGTACCATCATCATCACCTCCACCACTTCCCCCATCACTCCCTCTATCATCGCCACCACTTTCACCATCACCACCACACCACCACCACTTTACCCATCATCGCTACCTCCATCACCACCACGACTTTTCCTCTCGGCCACCTCAATCATCACCACCACCACCGATTTCACCATCACCTCCACACCACCACCACCACTTTACCCATAATCATTTCCATCACCACCACTACTTTTCCTCTCGGCCACCTCCATCATCACCACCACCACTTTATTCATCACCACCTCCATCATCACCACCACGTTTCCTCTCGGCCATCTCCATGATCAACATCACTTTACCCATCACCTCCACACCACCACCACTTTACCCATCACCACCACCGCTGTTGTCGTCATCTTCATCACCACCCCTCGTTGCTCACTTCAGAGCTGTTGTCTCGCTGCGGTTGGGCAAGGGGGGGGGCGCGTTCCGTGCGCATCGTGAATGAACGCGGCGGCACCATTGTGGTACCACTGTGGTACCATTGTGATCTCCCCACCACCGCCAGGCAACGAGGCGAGGTGCGGGCAGGTGGGGGGGCCTGCAGCTCGAAGTTGAACCACGACGACCCTGAAAGGCGGGAGGGCCTCGTTCTAGTATCAACATCGTCCGTGATCATTCATGGTCGATGATCCACTGCTGGATGATAATCCCCCCCCCCCCCACGCTACCATCTCCCATTCCATCGTCACCTTTTGCTTAAACGTTGACACATTTGAAGGCGCACGCACTCACGCAAAGCAAAACCACCAACAGCAGACCCTAAACTGTGACGTGGCCGGGTGGGGGCGACGCGCTTAATTAACCTATGCAAATTGTGGTAATTATCGCTGAAAGGTTACATCCAATTAAACATTTACAACAATAACTCTCATCTCGCGCCTCGGGATCTTCCCCCGGCAGTGTGGGAGGCGGGCTTCAGATTTGGTAGAGCGGACGCGCGCCCGCGATGCTTTGGCCGCTCGCGATTGGCCGAGGCGCGCTACGTAGCCGCGTCTCGGCCAATCCGACGCCGCCAAATCCGGCGAGTCGCTTATGCGATGTACGCAATGGCAACGCCTTCCATCCACACGATGAGCAAGCGGCCATGCACGATCCACTGCTGGACGCACGTGGAACGATTCTCCCCAAACTCGAAGCCCCGTCGACAAGCGCTCGCAATAATCCACCTGGCACCTGCACACCAGGAGCTGACGACGTTATCGCTCCATCTCCTCCGTCCACGTGCCCCCTGTCGGCACGTGAACACAACGGTGGCTTGAACTCGAGGTGTCGTGAGTGAGTGCTGCTGCGTGGTGATGGTGGTGGTGGTGAGACATTTATTTTATTGCGGGTAACCGCTTCATAACAAGCGATGTTCGGGATTCGTTACTGGCCAGTAATTTCACGCGGTAAAAATGTATCCGCATATCTGAAGTGAGAGTCATCATGGTTTCCATAAGGAAAACGTGGAACTTCCACCATTGGCCTAATGCCCCAATTCTATTGAGATTTTTAAAAACCCACATCAGGGTGGCACTGATGCAGCTGGGAGAGGTGGTCGTGTCGCTCAAGGCTCACAGCACTGACCACCTCTTCACCATTGACATCATCACCGTCGTCGTCATATATAGCCTCAACAGACTTGGGGGCACCTATGAAGGCCGACACGGCACGGGAAGGGGGTGGGTGGCCAGCACCAGTGCTGATTTTTACACACCACCTAGCGTGGTACAGTATGTGTACTCATTTAAGGCGGAGTCGACCGAGGGGAGGCGCAGGACCGGTTCAAATATTCGCCACAGTGGTTATGAGTAGAAACCGAACTCGGGTCCTCGGATTCGTAGCGCAGTGCCAGTAACCACTGCGCCACCGCTCCCCACGTCATAACCCCCCTCCCCTCCATCACCACCATCACCACCAGAGCAGCATCAAGTCACCACCGCTGAGACCCTCGGTTCAAATCGGGGTTTGATCCTGACGTGACTGAACCAGGTTCTCAAGTGTAACGAGTGGATCTCGTATCGGCACCAAAGAGTCATGTTATTGACGCTACATTTGGCTATGTTCCACCACCTCTGAATTAACATAAATTGGCATGTGGGGAAGTGCTCCCATCGTGTGTGGATAGGAAAAATGTTACTTAATGGGATCTCAGCAAAACTTTTGTGGTATCGTATTACACGGACCGTGCACTCGGCGAACTGATTGACCTCTGAATCAGAATATTTATTTCGACTGGAGGACTATGATGAGCTGTGAAGCTCTTGTTCACAAGTGTCCAGTAGGGACAGAAAGTTACAACAACAATGCAACACACGACAGGAGTGCAAAGTGTGTAGGAAAGGTAAGCGTGTCACGAAAACAAGGTCGCGTGACGCAAGTCACATCGGTGACACAAATTTGAATCAAATTTGTAAAGCAAAAGGTCGTTCTGTAAAGGCCAAGGATGCTGTCACTGCAGCCTTGCACGAAGAAAAACAATCTTTGGTGCTACAGCCCTTAACCCCGGGCCTCTAAACCCTATACCCTCATCCTTAACCCTAAACCATAAACCACTTTACTTTCGTGGAAGAAGACCCCTCCACGAGAGGGAGCTCTGAAGGATATTTGGCCTCTTCCACACTTACCAGACATCTCGGAAGAGTAGACCAAACACAGGCTGCCTCTGGTGGAGACTTCCATCAGCACTGGTGTGAGCCAGCAAGCACGGTGGCTAGGAGATGTTAACTACCTCGCCTGGTATGCAGGAGGTCGTGGGTTCGATCCTGACCCTGACGCCTGCTGCTGTATATTCGGAGTTTGCATTTTCTCCCTGTGGTCGCGTGGATTTTCCTCCTGGTCCTCCAGTTTTCCCCTCTACATTTAGAAGCATACCTTGTGAGTATTTGTCTGCTATAAATGTCCACATGATGAGCCGTGTAGTTGAGCTATCATTTGTGACTAGGTCACATCTGAAAATAACTATATAGCTCAATGAGCCTTAACTTGTGTACTTACAAGATGAAATCATAAAAACAAATTTTATGTTCACGTGTGCCAATCGGCACATTAATGATCAAATCCCTCTGGAATCTGTTCTTGTTTCCCAACTTTCCGAACCGATGATACATTCTAATAAGTATAGCCCGTAAAAACAAAGTTTTTCACTATAAATCCTTTATATGCGTGGCAGTGAACTTAATATAAAGGATTTAAAAATATATTCGCCTGTGGAGGACGTGGGGATCGATCCCGCGACCTTTGGCATGGGAAGCGAGGGCGCTACCAACTGCGCTACTCCGCCACGGCCTGTGGAGGGGTTACGCTCTGGGCTCTTACACTCTGACGTTCAGCCAAAGCCATGAATGCGTTCTATTTGAATATATGTAAAATATTTTTTTTTGCCTAAAAAGTGTAAAATTTTGGGAATTTTTTTTCACGAACAATAATTGTCTGGCACAACGAGTCTGTGTGGAAAATGTCAGCTCGATTGGATCACGGGAAGTGGGTTAAAAAACTACCGAAATATTTGCACGGTCCTAAGCAAGCAAGCACGCAAGCAAGCGAACTTAATATAAAGGATTTAAAAATGGTTACCGGTTTACCGATAATTTTTTTGACAACCCTCGTTTCTTTACCCACATTTACAGGGACTGTAGCCACTTTTAAATAATCTGTAGATAAAATACTGACAATTCAGTGATTGAGAACTCATTTGTATGTGCTGTCGTTGAGGTAGGCAGACCTGGGGGTCTAAACGTTGTGATTTGTATGTACTGTACTGGGGGGTCTGTGTGTGTGAATTCTATATTGATTGAGAGTTTTATTTAACCAAGTGAAAGCTCATTGAGATGTGTAAGATCCTAGGGTCAAATTCGTAGACTATACGAGCTATGTGGATATACTGTCTATTGATTTGGTGTCCTTTAACCAGGTCAAACCCCACTGAGATTCCCTTAACTCTTTGTTTCATTAGAGTTTTGTGTTATTATAAGACTCGCACATTTAGTATCGTGTATGTCTCTGCACTGTTGTGATTGCCTTTTATTCATTGTCTCATCTTTGATAGTTTTTCCCCCCCTTCGTCTCACCGAGCTTTGTCTTAATTCATATTTAGTTTGGCATCCTCGTCATGTATCACCTTTCTTTGATCTTGCATTTTGCAGCATCAGTCGACTTCTTGTTTTCCCTTCCCCTTGGCCCCCACTTTAATTTCACCGTCCATTAACTATACTGGTTATGTAATTATATTTAAAATATT